AATTTTTTATAACAAAATTACATGTCATGATAAAATTTTAAAGTGCACCTTAATTGGACCGTTTAAGGTTGCATCCTTATATATATATATATATATATATATATATATATATATCAAATGATTGAGTAGTGGGTAGCATGTATATTTCGATCATGGTAACTAAGCCAAAAGTCAAAAAATGGGACAAAAAATTTGTCATCATTTCTTCTAAAATAAGAGGTCATCGCAGTTGAAAGAACCTGAAAAATACTTAGCTAACCTTCCATCAGATTTTGGATTTTTCAAAAAAAAAAAAAAATCACAGATTGTATACTATAAGACCTCTTATCTTTCATACAAAAAATTCACAATTACACGTATCCATTAGATGTTAAATTGGATGGCTTGAGATGTCACAATTTTTCTTTTTTTAAAAAAAACTTTTGAGTCTGGTCAATAACATGTTCATAACTACCCGATTTGAAATCTAAAGTACAAAAATTATTGCGACCTCTTTGTGCTAAGTAAATGGTCTATTTATTTCCTTTTACACAAAACTAGTGCATTTTATGGCTTTCATGCCCCTGTAACGATATTTTCAAGACATTGGTTATTGTTGTTTTGCTATGTACAAAGTTTATTCTACCCCTTGGGCAAAACAGTAACAAAAAGAACTTATACAATTTATTCAACATAAAGAACTTTTTCCTATTTTTATTTAACACAAAGAACTCATCAAATTTATTTTGACATAAATAACTTATCAAATTTATATTTTAAACAAGGAGGCGACTCATGGAAGTGGCTCATAAGAGCACGAGAAGTGAGTCATGCCTATGGCAACTGAACTGCACAAAGTTTTTGACAAGACCCGAAAGCCGCTTAAGACTCGGACGCCCAGGAACACACTCCTTCAGACAACTGATTGCCGAAGCATGTTAAGAATTTCCATTTTTCATAGTCTGCTTAATATAGGCTCTCAACTATGTAGATACCATGATTGATACTTGTATATAAAGTTTGCACTTAACCCATTAAAAAGCTCTGCAACTGTTGAAAAAACCTTAACAATAAATTCTTTTTTTGATAAACCTTAACAAGAGATTTATTATTCCAGGGCGTTGAGGAACACAACTCCTTGGCTTTTACAGGTGCTCTTCATTTTGTTCGGGCACCAGCCAGTTCTTGGTCGTTAAACTGTGATCTCAGAGGTAGGTAAGAAGATCAACTAACCATTCTCTAATCCAACAAACCAAGACAAATATGCATACTGCACAACCCAATAAATACATCTGCAATTCTCATTCAAGCTCTCACTCTCTCTCACAAGAGATCAACAGAACACTGTTACATATTATCTCTCTCCTCTTTCCACTCATCCATCAAGGTTGCTTCTCCATTGCCAATAGTACCCTCTAGGACTTGACACTTTCCTCTTTCCTATTTCTATCCATCCAACACAGTTTCTCCATTCCAATACTTTTTGTCTCCTCTCCCTAACACCGTTTCTCCATTCTAAAACTCTCTCCCCCCCTCTCCAGCCATGGGTTCGACAGGTTCTTCCTCCTATCATTGCCCATGGCTCTAATTGTGCTCAACATTGATGTTTGCCTAGAGACACGCCAGGTTCTTCCTCCTATCATTGCTCATGGCTCTAATTGTGCTCAACATTGATGTTTGCCTAGAGACGCGCCGGCTACAAGACACCCCACCTCTCCCAAAGCCCACGCTGTCCCCCTCTGCCCTCAACAATTCCTACAATCCCCACCATCCCACCCCTCCCGAAACCCACATTCCCTCCTCTACCCTCATCCATCAGTTCCATCCTTACCCACCACCCCACCACTCCTGAAGCCAACACTGCCTCCACTGCCCTCCAGAATTCCAACAATTCCCACCTCACCCCTCCCAAAGCCAACATTGCCCCCTATGCCCTCAGCTATCCCGGAAATCCCAACATCAATCCCTAATATCCCCACAACCTCCCAAAATCCCAACCACTAGCCCTCCATTGCCGACACTCCCCACCTTGGTGACAACCCCAATGCCCTCAACTGTTCCGAAGATGCCAACATCCATCCCTCCTATGCCCTCCCTCCCTAACTTAGGGAGCCTCAGCAATCCCTAAAATCCCAATCACTATCCCCCCCATGCCATCCCTCCCTTCCTCACCAATGCCCCCAATGCCCTCACCATCCCTCCCTTCCTTGCTGACAAGCCCAATGCCCTCAAGAATTCCAAAAATCCCCACCACCATGCCTCCCATGCCCACAATACCCACAACAATGCCAAAAATCTCACCCACAATCCCTCCCATGCCTTCCATTCTTACCCTTCAGTTTCCCCCCATCCCCTTTCAAAGCCCACCACCCCCTACAAAGGCTTGAGATGCCAAGTGGTAAAACCTCATGCACCAATGCATGCCTCCATCGTGCCCCATTGTCCATAGATCATCATACAGCATGGGACATGGCGAGCCAACAAGGTGCCTAGGTGCTGGTCACTTGCTTCACACGCATGGATGGCTTGTTGTGTTGTGGACCTCAGGAAGAGATTATCTTTTGTTGTTTGCCTATTATGTGAGAATTTTCTTCTATACTATTGTAGATGTTGTTGCTGTTACTGGTACCATTTACTATTATAAATATCAATATTGATTATTATTTTTATTCTTATTCTTAGTGTTTGTATCTAACAAGCACATGTGTGCTTCTTGTATTTAATAGTTTGTAATGAGTATAGTTAATTGATTTTATAGGCATTATTGTTCTGCTGTATGTGTGCCCAAAGGATACTTTATAGTTGCAACCATTGTTTTTTTTGCTCCGCAAAATAAAAACATTGGTGGAAATATTGGGCTGCTACAAACCCCACCCATGTTTTTCGTGTGGGATTGGATAAAAGTGATAGGTGCAAATAGTAAATCCCTACTATAATCTGAACTAGGATAAAGATGGATTAGAGGACATTGTGATTGGACTTTCACATGTCTAGCATCAAATTACATATATCAATTCTGGTCCATCCATTACTATGGAATGAGTCTGAGAAAAGCAAGGGGAGAGGTCCCTCACGATCATTTGGTCTTGAACATGTTTCTTATACTTAAATAAATCCCAGAATTATTATGCTGCACACCATTCATGACTTTCTAAATCAATTCACCTAGTTGACTCAGCCTGAGTCTGAGTTCCAAGCATCAAACTATGGTTGGAACTGGAACTAATGCACAGATAGAGAGTCGAAGATGTAAAGAAAAGAAAGTGGAGTAGCCCCTGCATTCATTTGGTTTTGACTTTTGAACATGTTTATTACACTACTTAATAAATCTCAGAATTACTATGTCACACACCATTCACGACTTTCCAAACCAATTCACGCAATCGGCTCAGCTTGAGTCCAAGTTTCAGGCAGCCAAAATGGTTGGAACTGGAACTAGTTCAAAGACAGGGATATTGATTCTGGCCATAAAAGTTTGAGACAGTTTCAATGAAATTTAGAACCATAGGCCTTAGACACCATCATAAATGATAAATCTGATAATTGACAACAGAACATAGTTCTCAATGTGAAATAATTAAATCAAAAAACATTCACATGATAAATTTTCAATTAGAAACATTAACTCTTAATTAAAGCATCAAAAAAAACCATTAACTCTTAATTACCCAAATGGAGAACAAACAATAACTACGGGAAATTACCTTTACAAGATTGACAAGGGAATATTGCTTCATGCCCAATAAATCCTTCCGACCTTCCCTTTCTTAGAGTGGTAATTACATTAGCTGGTCAGCACGATCAGCATGATCAGCATTTGATGATTCTGCATGCTTCCTGATTGCTTCATTTTCTGCACCCAAAATTTCATTTGTTTCGAGGTCTCAGATGATTGCTCAAACATATTTGTAAACCAGCTTATCTGAAAATTCTACAAACATGAGTACACAAAAAAATAAAATTTATGATTACTATTACGTAAAAATAATCTCTAAATAATAAATATATCTAAACCAGCTTCAAATTGCTGCTCATCACATTTAGTTCTCAGTCAGCTATATATCTAATAGTCCAAACATTAAATGAACCATCATAAGGGAAGTGATCGTGGAGGTTAGAGGTGGATATGAGCAATCTTTGGACAAAAGAAGGCCAAGGCAGACGTGAAAGTCTCTATCCAAGAGGTGGCCTTTGGCCAGCTGGTTGATATGAGCAATCTTTGGACACACGAAGTCCTAGACAGATGATAGAAATGGGTCTCTACATTGACATTTAAGTTTCATGAACCACATCCAGATGTTATAATGTCAATTGCCTGTGTCCAAATTTTTTATACTATTTTGAGCAATTCAATGGAAACCTCCAAAGCACATGATGGTTCGTTAAAGAAGAACAATGCTCAAACGGACAGCCCCACGTGGTTAGAAGTTCATCAGAACAAAACTCCTCAAAATCTGAGATATAACAATATATTATTTTGGGCCAAAGATATCTATCATGAAAAAACATAACAGGGTTTCATCAGAATAATACCATGTGATAGGCCAGCTGAGAGCATCCGGTCAATGTTATCAATGCGATGTTGTATCACTTTTAAAACTGAGTTTAGAGAAGAGATCCTCTTTCGAACCCCTGTAAGCTTGGCTGCATGTTGCATGACAAATGGCAAGGGTGCATCTTCTAAGAGCTTATCCAGCTCTGTATCAAACAAAAAAGACAAAAAATTTAACCCTAATTTCACAAAGGCATAAAGAATGAAAATCCATTCCATTGGCAGGTTTTAAAGCTCAAGATGTTATCCTTTCATTCTCACCAAGCAACGCCCTTTTTCTTATTGTTGGCACTTATTAGAAACAAAATACTTATTTTATCAAGAATTTTCAGATTTTGCATTTATAGATTAACTTATTACAATTATACAACTGCGTTCCAAAATTCCAATCAAAATTTGAGATAAAAAGGAGATATAAAATAACCCCCAAAAAAAAAAATTAACTAAGTGTCTCGGTGGTTTTTGCATAGAGCTCCCAAGCTGTGGGTAGCCTATTTTTTGTAACTTGAACAAACTCTTTAATTAATACAAACGTCAAAATATTCAAAAAAGCAAAAAACTAAGTGTCAAGCCAATAACAAGCTTACCTTCTATTACCCAAATTTACAGTTCAAAATGCTAAACATTCATCATTTCAAAAAAGAAAATTTTAAGCATTCATTCTCCGCAAGAAAAAAGAAGCAATCCTCATTCCCTGATTGAACCAAATTGTCTAATATCAAGAAATTTCAGCCTTTGCATACATAGAATTGCCGTTGCATTCCTCTAAATTCAAGACAAAACCTCTCTATAGAACCTAAATTTTTAATTAACATACAGTATCACAGTAAAAAAAGTTGTCATGTCTAGAATCACCTAGTGTGAGTCGATCAATTGAACCTCCAAGCATATCCTGGCTTCTGATTACATTCCCTGCCCTAAAATCAAATTCTGTCATCACAGAGGTTAGCATCGATGAAATTGCTCTCGCCATGGCTTCTGTGCTCTTGTTATCACCATCAATGGTCGAATTCGAAGCTTTTGCCTCTGTTTCTGGTTCATTTTGTGTTAGATGTGATTCATCATTTGTTTGGCCACCATTGGTCGAATTCAAGGCTTTTGTCTCTGTCTCTGGTTCAGTTAGCGTTAGATGTGATTCTTCATCTATTTGGCCACCATTCATGGGCCCTGAAGTATTTACAGGTCCAGATTCATGAGGAGAAGAGGAATCACCAGTAACCATTGTTCATAGCAGGTCATGGCATCTACCGGATTCTGATGACTTCCATGACCATAGAGAAAGGAAACTTGGTGAATAAAATTAGGGGTTTCGATGAAACAAAGAAGAATACGGCAATTCGTCAAAGGGAACTCAAAACATTAGGTTCGAGAACAAAATCTACATAGAAATCAGACAATTTGTGCTCCTGGTTAGAGTTACACAGAAAAAAAAAATAGGGCAGAGAAACTAGAGTGAGAGAACAAGGGTATGGTCCTTCAAAAAATGAGCGCAAAACAAACACCAGAGAAAAAAAATTAGGGTCATGTAAAGAGGATAGAGAAATTGGAAGTCGGCTTATGAGCACAGGAGAGAAAAAAATAGGATTTCTGATTTGTTTTTCAAAAAGAAGAAAAATAAGGGTTTCTAATTCAATAGTATACAGGAAAGAGAGGGAAATTCAGGCTTCCGTATTAGGGATCCATCGCACAAACAAAATTAAGGTTATTCGAAGTTCGTATCTCTAACAAAGATGTACATATACTGTTTTAAAATCAGGACACGTTTTCTACGAGTCATGTAGAAATGAGTCGCCTCTTAAAAATTTATTTTTGGGATTGATTTTTGGACTTAAAAGTGACGTATAATCTCATGAATATAAAAATAAAAATAAAAAAATAAAAAATTTGAAATAAGATATAATTCTATTAAAAAAATATTTCGACAGGTAGTTTCAATTATTTTTAGATGGACCGCTTAGTTGCATCCATTTTTAATATGGATGCTTTATATCGGGGTGCTACATATTGTAGAAATGCGGTCCAATATGCATGAAACAATTTTCCCAATGTTTTTAATGAGGAATAACTTTATATAAGGTGTCTACTTTACAAGTAAGGTGCATCTAAAAAACCCATTGAAGAAAGTTATTCTGGAAAACTCTCTTATCGATCTTCTTGACCTTGAGATTCATAAATATGAAAAAAAAAAAAAAAGATGTCTAGTCTTAAAAATAGTTCATTTTCTAATACATTATCTGGACCATCTATTTTCAAAATTTTTAAGTATTTATAGATCCGCTTGATCGTCATCATTTATAAAACATTAAATTTTATAATTAGGAACAATAATAGATTATCGTACCATCGCAAGACCTTACGGCACTTAAACTCCATTTTCAACGTAGTTTTGAGGGCACCTTTATAAGGTTGACACCTTATACAAACCCAATGAGTAAAGCCTCACAATAAAACTAAAAAAAAAAAAAGCAAATCAGTTTTGACGTCCAAAAGCTGTTAAATCCATGAGGCCCTTAACCATGTGAACAAAAATTTAGGATTCAAGCTCTAAAAAACATAACAATTTATATTATAACACATTATCTAAATGGGGAAATTTATATAGAGTTGGGGCTCTAAACAATCAAATTAAAGCTCACTTCAAAATTTTCACTAGAAAATGTTGTTTTGATACTTAAATATTCTCAAATTGATCATCTCAACATCAAGATACATGGACATGAAAAAAAAAAAAATTAGATTTCAAGTTTTGGAAATAATGCATCTTGTAATGCATTTTTGAACCATCAATTTTCAAGATTTTCAAGTTTTTATAGATCGACTCGATCTACACTATTTTTTAAGCTTTAAATTTTATAATTAAATATAAAAATATATCTTAAGATTATCACAAAGATTTACAGTATTGAAACCAAATTTCTAGATACTATTTGAAGATGCATTTTACTCTTATTACTTAGAGCCTCTGCTCTATACAAAACAGCACCCTTATCTTAATTGTCTATTTCACCCTAAAAATAAGTATTCATACATCCCCAAGATCTTTAATGTTTTTTAAGTTTCAAATATAATAATAAATGTACGATTACAAAAATAAAAATATAATCGATGGTGGAATTGATTTTGCCTTTCAAGCGAGGATTCTAATTAAGGCTTTTACTTTATTTTCATAAAGCCCTCTTATAGAAACTGCATCCATGACCAAAATGCCTTTTCAGCGTTTTGGTAGTTGAACATTCAAAAGGCATTTTGATAAGGGAAACTTATGAAAATGTACCTAAGAGATAACTAATTATCTACTTTTATTAAATTTTTAAAATGTCATTAAGGTATATATGATCATGAGTTGGAACAATTGACAGTGTCAATAGCTTTCTTTGTGTTTTTTCTTTTTTTTCCTTTTTTTTTTTTTTTTTTTTGTAGATTGAGGGTAGGAATTGAACTTGAGAAAATGTTAAATAGTTCATAAAATTAGGTTTGTTTTGATAAATTCTCTTTTGATAAAATGTCACTATTTGGGCTATTAACTAGGGATGCAGAGGCCCAAGCCTTATGAAAAAAAGAAAAGAAAAAGTAAAGCCTGATTTTAAAATCCCATCTGGAAAACACTTTAGTCGTAAGAAATTTTTGTAAGGGCTCTAAACTCATTTTCCACTACCGATTATGAAATTTGTAGCACAATAATTGGTACAGACCTTGTGAATTCATGAGCACTTGAAAATAAACGATCTAGATAATGTATTACAAGATACATTATTTTTAACGCTTAAAATCTTTTTTTTTCACGACTATAATGGTCAAGGCCGAGATAATTAATTTGGATGTTTTTCTACAATGGATATGCAATTTTTGGTGAACTTTGAGGTGAGGCTTTACTTCTATTAGACTTGGGAGTTATAATGTATGAATGGTTTTCAAACCTGAATCAAAATATTTTAATGAAGAAGCAACACAGTCAAGGATTGGAGCAGAGCACGCTCGGGTAGTTTTGTTATTTCGCTCATATCACTTGACATAAATTTCTTATTTTCGACTTGGGATAATGAATTTTAATGAAAATCCTATTTTGTAATTGCAAGTAAGAACGAGCACAAATCCAAATTTTAGTTTAATGATATTTTCTCGATTAAAACTTATTTCCATTATCGTGTTTCCTTATCTCAAATCCCAGTCACATCTCCTCTCTCACTCAAAAACTTTTTAGTCCCCTCTATGTGGCCCATTTCTCACTCTCCGTGCGTTAACATATTTTCTTACAATGAGGTTGTCTTCAAAAAAAAAAAAACATATTTTCTTACAATGGGCCCATTTGGTACACTTGAAAAACACTTCTTAAGAAATACTTTTACATGAAAAAACCCTTTATATAATTAGATAGGGGAGTTTTTCATACCAATTGGTCCCAATATATTTTTTTATATCAATTGACAAGTATTTCTCCAAAAATGTTTTCACACTTACCAAACATACAGCCTCTCATTGTAGTCTTTTGCCTTGCACTCTTTAATTTTGCTTTTTGATTGTATAAGGTGAGTTACAGTCATTGGATGTCAAATTTACCTGTTTGGAATGTGTTAAAAAAATAAAAAAATAAAAAAAATTGAATTTTAAACTTGGTCAATGACAGCTCCCAACTACTAAATTTCAAATCTAACAACCAAAGGTGATCATGATCAACTTGTACCAAATATAAATAGTTTCATTGTGTGTTTTTCTTATACTAAACATAATTCAAATAACTCCAATGAAGATATGGTTGGAAGGCTCTTTTTTGAGGTAGAGTGCATTACTTGGTCGGTTTGTTTATACAATATCCATCGATGTTAAAAATTGGGGACCTTGCTTTCAACTTGTCCGAGTCTGCTCAAGTTGGCGCCTTGGCAAGTTTGGCAGGAGCAACTCGCCTGAATCTGCTCAACTTGGCACATTGGCGAGTTTGGCAGGTGTGACTCACCTGAATCTGCTCAAGTTGGCAACTTGGCGAGACTGGCGGGAGCGACTCGTCCCCACGACGCTACTTGTTTCATCTAAAACTCACGAATCCAACTCGGGCTCACGACCCTAGCGAGTGTCCAGGATTATTAAGTCTAATCTCCATTTGTCAGAGCCTCAACTTCACGGACCTCCATAGGTGGATCCCTTGTCTATGTAACCATAGGAGTAAGAGGTGAGAGAGACCACAAAGGCTCAGAGAGAGTCAAATGTCATATTGTGATCACTTACAAACTGAGAATACAAAAAATAATCACTTATTCCATTCATTCAATTCGTATACATTCACAAACAAACGCTTCAGCATTTTACATTCAGAAAGAGAAAAAATACATTCAAAAAAGAAAAAAGAGAGAAGAGGGAGAAGAAGGGTAAGGTGTAAGTAATCATAGACAAGGTAAGAATTTACGCAAACTTTTCGGAGCTTCTCTGTTCATGGGTTAGCACCACTCATCGAGACCGTCGAAATAACGGACACTGGAACCGATACAGCATGGCCTTGACTTCCATAAAGCCCTATCCTCCCAAAGCTAGGAGACGTGCTGTTTATGGTGGCCACCATTGACACAGTTAAGCTCTGAGTCTGCCTTTGGGCTAGAGAGAAGGTGGTGGGAGTTAGAGAGAGAGAGACCCCAAATGGGTTGCTCCATGTCACAGTAAAAGTTTCATTATCACCGATGTTAGTTACTGTTCTATAGACTGTTCTTGACTGGTTCAGCTTTGCAATGGTTATGGATGGGAGGTTAAGATCAGGTCCACCTATGGTGTTCGGGCCACAAGCTTCACCAGTGTAGTTCAGAACCACAGGACTTGAGCCGTTTATGCCACACAGGAAGGCAAGGAAATCAGCAAAACCTGTGGAGAGAGAGAGAGAGATTATCATCATTTGAAAATTCTAGAAAAAGGAAAAAAGATCTAGTGTGCAAGAGATGTGTGCGAGGTACTCAAATATGACAGGAAGGAAAGTAAAACCGCTGTCAGTTGTAATAATGTTAAACGAACAAAACATACCCCCCAAACTTTCGAAGAGAGAGAGAGAGAGCCATAGAATGAAGACCAAACTACCCCAAATTACATGTCCACTTGTGTTCTATGCTTTAACCAAACTAACTCTGATTCACACTTGAAATGACCAAATTACCCCTGACAGTAAATTATCAAATGCAAGAAACCAAGAAAACTTACTGGAATCAAAGATCAAGCCAGGATTGAGAGCTGCAGTTGCATTAACAAACCCACTTCCCATATCGAATGGGGTGGCAGGTGACTGGTTTGAGTCTGGATTGCTATATGAACGTTGAGCCATGATGGGGCCACCCCATTTGTCCAAAAGAGAGGCAGTGGTCGAGAGGGCGGAGCCTATGGCCGAGGGCCCAAAGGTTGGGAACTTTTGTTTTATAAGGGCTGCAAGGCCTGCCACATGAGGAGCCGCCATACTCGTGCCTGAGATCATTGCGAAACTCTCGCCTGATAGGAAGACCAACTCATTCAACAAAAAGGAGGTCCATTTATCAAATAAAAAAGAATAAAAGAACACCTAATTAGATGGTGGTACTTATATAGAAAGAGAAAAAGGAGGTATTCGTATTTGAAAGAGAAAAAGGAAAATCAAAGGTACTCGCCACAAAAATAAAAGGAAACTCTGCTTCTCAAAGAAAATGATGAATATCACATGCCCTTCCTAGTAAAATGGTGGACACACACGCATACTCTCTCTCTCTCTCTCTCTCTCTCTCTCTCTCTCACACACACACACACACACACACAAGCGTGCGCTCGGACACACACACACTCACCTTCAAATTCCATAGAGTCAGTCCCCAAAGAACTCCAAGCAGCCCATATGAGATTTCCAGGGGCGATCAAATTTGGCTTCATAAAATCAGCATCATCGAGCATGTTATCTTCTGGGTCAGGCCCTCTTGCAGAATAGTAAACAACTTTTGGAGCCGAATTACTGTAATTTGCTTTTAGTCCCCCTAAAATTCTTGCCATGCCTCCAAACTTCAAAATTGAGTTTGAGGACTCATTTCTAACCAATGAATTGTTATAATATTTGAGAAAGACCTGTACAATTAAAAGATTGGAACTAAATCAATATTAAGTCTCAGTAATTTAAGGAAATATTTCAAACCCTCAAGTTCTTTCCTAAAATTGGATCTTGGTCTTTCTCAGAAATGTGGAGAACCTCAAAGTCCTTCACCCATGCAAATGATGAGTGAAGAACCGAGCACCATAAAATCTCATGCAAAAACCATACCATTCATAAGGACAATCCATATACAAAAGTACATGTTTCAACCAACAAATCTGGACTGCTCATTCACTTTATGAACTAATCACCAAGATCCATGATGCATGGGCAAGGGCAAGACTAAGCTCCATATATCTTAGTGAATGCATGCATGCATGCACACACGTATAATCATATATTAGAACACACACACGCACACACACACAATGCATAGAGAAAAGAGAGAGACAGACAGAGAGAAGAAAGACTACTACAGTAATACGTTCAAAACCACACACGTGTAAAATGTTTGACCTGCGAATCACTGGGAGATGGAATTATTAAGCCAGGCATATTCATGGGAGTTGGGTTGAGCTGAAATCCAAGAACAAAAGGGTCCATGTAGAAAACCACCCCAACTGCACTGACATTTTTTGCTGTTTGGAGAGCCTGCTTGATGGAGGAGAGTCCCAACACAAAACGGATTGAATAACTGCAGATCAAGAGGTTCCCTCGAATTAAATCTGGGTTCAATTGACTTGAATCCTGACACTCTGATAAGTACATGTCCCTTGTACCGATGGAGTCATTGCTTAATGCATGAGTTGCAGATACCAAAGTGTTGAATGTGTCACCCACTGTTCTAGCTGCAAGTATAAATATCCAATTCCAAAATTAGAATATAAATCTCTCTCCCTCCCTACCCACCTCTGTGTGTGTGCATATGTGTTTGATAGACAAATGTCAAGAGTACAAAGATTCAACATGTTCTTGAAAAAGCCTGTGTTCTAGATGTTCATGTGGTGCCTCTTTTTGGGCAAAATTTCATGGGGTGCGTCAAATTGTAAATTAGTACAAACTTTGGACTAGGCATAGATATCACTTTCAGTAGTTGAGCAGTTCAGACCATTCAGGTAAGTAAAGATTTAATTTTTTTAAAAAAAAAAACAGAAAAGTCAGACCACTGGAGAATCAGGATAATTTCAATGAAATCGCCAAATACAAACAAGGACAACGAAATAAGAATTGAGGTTGTGGTAGCATCAACTCACGTGCTAGACCAACTCCTTGGATTGTCAGATTGTTGCCGAGAAGTACAGAATTACTATATATCCTATCATGAACTGCTGCACCCACAGTAAAGATCCATGGACTAAAAGAAGAGATACTTTTGGGTGAAGGCCCTGTATTACCAGCTGCTTGGACAACAAATATTCCAGATTTCACAGCTGACAGCAATGCCATATCTATTGGATTGAAGAAAGTAGCAAGGCCAGGTGGCCGTCTGTTTGGAGTTATTGAAAGGCTCACTATATCCACTCCATCTTGAGCTGCCTGCAAATGCAATAGATCCATCTGCTGAAATTTTTTTCTGATTAATAGAAAAAACCAATGTTCCAGTGTTTGATAAGGAGCATGGGGAAAAAAACTCTCTTAACAATTGATTATAAAATTCCTCTAGGATCTTGGCTCGGAGGTCAAAGCGTAAGAGCTATTGCACAATGGCCAGGGTTCTCTTAATCCCAGCCAACCTACACAAATTTCTCTACAAATATCAAAAAATTAATGAAAAAACCACATTCAATTAATAGGAACCACATTTTATCTCATAAGAAATTCCGAAAACTACTCCAATTGTTAAACACATTCCAAAACAATTTAAGGGTGTGTTTGCATGAGGGCATGCCATACATGTCTTGGGCAGCTTTTTAGGTGACTCCCGGAATATGTATGTGTGGATTCTTTGTAAGCCACTTTTTATGCCAGCTCAGAGGCACATGCACACAAGACAGGCCACGGCTTTGTGTATGAAAAGCATTAGAAAGTACCAGTTTTAACGCTACTGCAAAAACGGACCTTTTATATGGAACTCAATATGGAAACTGATACAAACAAGTGCAGCAGCCAAACAAGCCGTAAAGGCTAATGGAGCTCACAGTGTTAAGGGTCATCACCAACTCTTTTATGCTGGCTGGATTATTGCCATATATGGATGGTATTCCCCTCTTCTTACTTGTAGGAAAGGGATCCTCCTCAGTTGAGAGAGATCTTCTTACTATTTGTATTCTCACAGGCGATCTATAACTGGAGTGGGGTAACATGGATGTTGACATCGGTACAATTAATCTCCAATTACCTATAGGTTGGAAAGGATGGCATATGTAACCTTGAGTACCATAGACCATGGTACATTGGACATTGTTATATTCCAGATTTTTGAAAACTACTCACACCATGGAAGCACTTAAAATTTTGTTGATACTTCAAAATAAATATGGGAGTAGGCTTTGTACCTGGTCTATGGCTGCAACCACATCGGCAGCAAAACCCCCAAAGCTTTTGTACAGAGACTTGTAAACTGCAATGCTAAAACAAAGAAACAAATAACTGAACCATGTTTTTCTGTTTTCAGGAACGTATACCATAATCCAATCAATAATGGTACACAGTACTCTGTAGAGACATTCACCATTTATTCCAGATGATGGACAATGGAGATATATCATTTAATGGGATCCATTGCTGCATTCACCCACATACAGTTAGTCTCTCCACCATAAGTCATAGAAAGCAGATGGTGGATGCCCCTTTGGAGCCCCATATGTCATACTCGAATGGATTATGGCACACTAACATAAAACCATGTTACTGCAATATAAACTGCATCTACTCAATTAGAAAAGGAAAAGAAAATAACTAAATTGTTAAATCAATTACTGTGCACGAGGAGCCATGCCACTAGCATTCCCAAAGTGATGCCCAGCTACTACAACAGGAATCCCATGGTTCCCTGCTGCAATGGAAGCCGTATGCCTGCAAATTATGAGAATTGCATTAGCATTCAAATTCAGAAGAAACAACCATATTCAAAAACAAGGAGTGAATACCAATAAAGAAGGGCTTTTGCATGAAGTCCAATTTCTTAATTCAAGAATTTTGGCCCTATTTTGGCTCTACATTTGGTAAGAAGGAGCTTCACCATGGCTCACATTCATCAAAAGTACAGTGGAATCCCTCCCTCTTGGCAAAATGTTGTAATTTCTTCCCAACATTTCTCAGTTCTATACAATAAGTTAACTATACCAAAACCCACTTCCCAAAAATCCCCAAAAAATCCACAGTTTCACAAAGCATAATCTTAGCAAAATACTCGCCTATGAAATCGAACAGCAACATAAACCACTTCAGAATTTGACAGATAACACAATCATAAAACCACTTACGTTCCATGGCCATCGCCATCAAAAGGTGAAGCATAGTCTTGAGTAGCATTGAAGATCCCTCTGGTTATTGCTGAAGCAGCAAAATGGCGAGCTCCAACGAGTTTGCGGTTACAAGAACCAGAAGGGAAATCTCTGGTCACTTCACATACACCAGAAAAGTGAGGTGGAATTGGATATGGGGTGTCTGATAAGTTATCAGAAAAGCTCGGGTGTGTTGGATCAATGCCCGTGTCGATAAATCCAATCACTACTCCTTCTCCAGCAAGCTCAGGGCCCCCTTCTTCTATCCAAGCTCCTTTGGGAAGACCCAAGAACTCTGGTGTGTGCGTTGTTGCAGTTCTAACAGAGAAATCCAGAGCAATATTTGCAACCTCTTTTCTTTTTATGAGCTTGTCTGCCTTGAAAATCACCAGGAAAACCAGGTTGGAAGCATGGAAATAATAATATTAAATTCAGCTTACATTGTTTCCAAAGAGAGAATCTAGGCACGTATTCACACATACGGCAAAGGAAAAACCAAGCTAGGCTGCTAGAGTGAAGCTTCAGAGAGAGAGAGAGAGGGAGAGAGTGAATCATACTGAATGGACAAGGGGATACGAGCTATTGTGTTAATGAAATTAACCAACACGCAGAAATCAAAAGCAGTTAAGTTGTCAGCATTATGGTGTTAATAAAACAAGATTAGAGATTTAAACTTAGACCACTTTCTAAACAAGCCACATTCTTAATGCTAGAACCTACTGAAATCATTTTGAGGTTTAAAAGTAAATAAATGAATGAATTCGGAGCATATGCCAAAGCCAGCCTGTAAAATCTTTGTTGAAGTTAGGATTCGAATTAAAGTTAATGCAGGACTTCTAGGACACCATGGAAACCAGACTGAGTTCAGAAAAGCCCAGAACTCTATTTAACGATAATGCCATATTAAATACTAACCCAAAAGCTCAAAATCACTCTTCCAATGAATTGAAGATCTCAATTCTACTTAGTGACAAAGATTAACCAAGAGAAAAAAAGCTCAAGAGCACCTTTGTAATTAACCAAGAGCTGAAAACTACTTTTCAGTACAGCCAGAGAGCTCAAAACCTCAACTGAAGATCTCAATTCTACTTAGCAAGAGAGAGAGAAAGAAAGAGAGAGAGAGAGAGAGAGGCTCAATAACACCTTTCAATATAACCAGAGCTGAAAACTACAGCTAAGTACAGCCGGAGAGCTCAAAACCTCAATTAGAAGCAATCCAAATCCACAAACCACACACTAATCAACCAAAGAGCTCAAGATCACCATTCAGTTCCAACAAAGCAAAAAAACGACATTTGAACCTATCCAAATGCATAGAATCAACAAAATCAACCTATATTCTCCGAAACTGTCATCAATACAACATTGATGCTCAAGACCACCGCAGTGACTGAGACAACTGAAAGGATGATATAACAAAGCCAGCATTTTAATCAACCCAACTGTGGAAAATGGCCATTCTGATTAATCATATTGCTTAAAACTTATAGCTGCTATTGCCGATTTCAACCCATGTTCACCAAAAAAAAAAACCCATCATTCCAATAAAACCAACTGCTCAAAACTTCCATCTGAAATTCCGAAGCAACAATTTTTCAAAAAAATACAGAGAGAGAGAAAGAGAGAGAGAGAGAGAGAAGAGAGAGAGAGCTCTCCAAAACCAATCACAAAACCGTGATTTTTACCATCAGAGCTTCCGCAATCAACCAAAACAAATAAAGATGATGCAGATAGAGAAAATGAGAAAGAGTAAAAGAAATACTGAAGTAAAACCAGATACTTACCTGCGGCTGAGTGAGAAGTACAGCAAAGCCATTAATCAAATAATGATAACTGTAAAGCTTCAAGTAGTTCTCCCCCTTCAGGACCCTCTTCAACAGTGAATCCTGAAGCCTAACTAGATAGGACCCATAATGCTGATCAGATATTGAACCATTCCTACAACAAGTAACACAGAGAAATACATCATTCTCTATCTAAAAAGGCCCACCCAACATTGAAACATTCTCTCTCTAGAATCAATACACAAACCACTTCATCATAAACAAATAAACACAGAAAAAACATTGGCTACGGCTCCTCTGTAAATAATAATCAAACGTAACAAGAAAAAACACTTCAGAAGATAATATATCTACCATTTACATTACCTTGGTTTTTGAAGATTATTCAAGGTTCCCTTGGCCTCATTTTCATGACCAGTGCTACTAAATTTCATCTCAGATGAATAATGGGCCACTGGAGCTTGCTTTAGTGTGACAATATATATAGCATTTGTGCCACTCTCACTCATGACTTGCCCCCAAAATCCCAAATATAGGAGACCAGCAATTAAATGAACCCCAAAAACCAGAGTACTTCTACCTTCTGCCTCCATTAATGAAGCCCCACCAATTAGAACAAGCAGAAAAATCCTTCAAACTCCTATAGAAACCTCTCTCCAGTCTCTCTCACAGACCCATAAACACCCAACTCTTTGCTCATGGACCCATGATTTCTGCAATACCAAAATCAACCCATTCTCTCTCCCTCTCTCTCTGCGCTAAGTTGGGTGTGCTGAAAAGAGTGAATAAGCAGTTTAGATAGAGAGAGACTCTCTCTCTGCACTAAGTTGGGTGTGATGAAAAGAGTGAACAAGCAGTTTAGAGAGAGAGTAAGAGAGAACAAAAGAGAGAGAGGGTGGGAGGTCTATGAAGTTGGGGAGAAGAACGTTATGGCTTTGACAGTGAAGTATTTACCACTGGTCTTAAAATTGAAATCTGAGGAAGAACAACAGCTAAGCAGGAAAAAGTTAAAGCAAAGGGAAGCCCAAAAAGACATGGATCCAAAGACTGGAAGACAAATGCGAAAATTGTAGAGAGAGAGAAAGAGAGAAAGCTCTAGAGAGAGAAAATACCGTCACGAGGCGAAGGTGCCAATTCCTTTTTATTTTTGGGTGCGGTTTCCACGACCTTCCAACAAAAAACAATCATACAATTACCTTAAAACCTATTTTCATATCCAATTAGAAAATTTTTAAACTCTAAAAACAATTAAAGTCAAATATATTTATAAGTAGACGGAAATCTTGAAAGTGGATGGTCTAGATAACATATTACAGAATGCACTATTTTTAATATTAAAAAACTTTTTTTATTTCATATTCATAGATCTCGATGTCGAGATGATCAATAAGAGAGTTTTTCAACATTAAAACAATATTTTCGACAGATTTTTTAAACGAAACTGTAATTCTACATTTTTAAGTTGCAACTTTATATAAGCTTCTTCCTTTATTATTCGAGCGAGTGAAACAATTGAAAGAATTCACCCCAAGAGAATAACACAAGCTAGAGAGAGAATATGCACAGCTAAACAGTGGAAACACCATTAGAAAGGAAAGAAAGTAGAGAGAGAAAGTATGATACAAAACTACAGAGACCAAAGCATGGTTCACTGAATGTAAATTTTACCGAAGAATCAAGTGAAAAATGTAGAGAGAGAAAGAGAGGGGTGAGCAAAGTGTTGTCCTAGAGAGAGAAAAAGGGTGAAATACATGTGATGGAAGATGTAATATTGATTTTGGCGGTGATGGGTGCAGGGCCAGGCTTTTGGCAGTGGATGGGTTCCAACGTTCATTTAATTTTTCTAGTGACAGAATGAGATCACCATTTTTTTAGTGTGAGAATCACCTGCTTTTGGTACAAAGGTGCGAGTGCGACTATACAGGGGTTGCAATGGGCTGAGTGGACCCAGCTCTTCCTCTGACCCGACAGGCACCCTAGGGTTTGCACCAAACAAACAAATCATAACCTTGTCTGGCTCAATTATTTTGATTGTTGGTCTGATTCATAATTGATTCAAATGTCACTTCTCTAACTCAGAATCAGCATTAGAGTCGGTTCAGATTTGGGAGTTAAATGATTCTAAACAAAAAAACAAACAACAAAATTGCTTGATTCTCCTAACTTTCAAAATCATTTAATTTATTAACTATTTAATATTATTTTTTTATTATTTTCAAGCATTAAAACTTGTGATCTTGTGTTTTCATATGTCTATGATATCAATTTTAAGAAAAATAAAAGAATATTTATCAAATTACCTATAAAAAAAATAAAAGAAGATCTATTAAATTACCTAATACAGATGAATAATATACCACTGTATTATATCTTTTTATTTAATTTTAAAATATCCACAAAATAACACAAGTCTTTAGTTAGAATAGTTCTCAAAGGATAAATTATTAAAGATTGATCTATGGGTTTTTTTAATAATGGAAAAATATACGATAAAATTATTCACAATTAATCTTGATCATTGGGTGGCTGCATTTATTCCACATCTCAAGCTCAAAGTTCAAAATAATTTTTTTCAAACTTTTGTGAATACCCAAGCAATAAGATTTTACACCGAATGGTCATAAATAATTGTGACATTCTTGTATTAGAAGTAAATGGTTTTACTGTGTGTAACATTTCCTAACAAAAAAGAAAAAAGAAAAAAGTTTATATAAAGTTGCAACCTTCAAATGCAGAATTACAGATGCACCTGAAAAATCCATCGAAAAAAGTTGTTTTAATGTTGGAAAACCTTCTAATTGATCATCTTAACATCAAAATATATGGATATGAAGAAAAAAAATATTTTGCATCTTAGAAGTAGTGCATCTTGCAACACAATATCTAGACCGTCCATATTCAAGATTCTCATATGTTATAAATCTACTTGATTTTAATCATTTTTGGAGTATAAAATTTTACAATTAAATATAAAAACAAAATTTCAGATAATCTTAAGAATGTTTTACACCAAAATTTTATGATAAAATTAGAGGTGTGCTTTAAGTGGATTGTTTAAAGTTGTAACTTTATAAAAACCACACTCATAAAAAATAAAATAAAATAAAGGTTGCCCATTATCTATAAAGTATAACAAATTGTGGCATGTTCCAACGCTAACAAGCCCACCCCGTTTCCAGCCCAATGCTGACAAGCCCGGCCCATTGCCACCTCTACCCTAATGTACGTAATATAAAGTGGTCCTTCACATTGAGATAATGAGTCATAATTTTATTCCACCTTTATCTAGCTTTTTGATTGTTAAATTATAGTTTGTCACTTATTTTTATGATTGGTTTTGGGGCCGGGCACAACGACGTGTCAACGCATGGCTCAGTCTCTCCTTTCGCCACTTTCTAGTGGGTTTCCAGAGAGAGAAATAACCGTTTATTGGGGTAGTGGGAAAGTTTTTAGAGTGAGAGAGTGCCTTTTCTTTCTCTAATGCTTTATTCGTTGTTGGGTTTCTCATTTAATAGCGCTATTGAGTGGGTTCTTTAGAAGATATCTTTTTGAATGGTGGTTTTTTAGGAGATATTACTCGATCATAGTTAGATATGGAGAAGGTTTATGATAAAGTGGAATTGAGTATTTTGTTAAAAATGATGAGATATATGGGATTAGAGGATAAATAGTGTAAATATATTTTTTGTTGTATTTCGTCAGTCCACTTTTCAATTTTTATTGATAACTGTCTTAAATGATTTTTCAAGTCTTCTAGAGATATCCGTCAAGGTGATTCTCTCTCACCGTTCTTTTTTACTATTTATGTGGAGTGCTTTAGTTTGATGATCTCAAATATGGTCAATATGGGTAGATTGGCAGGTTTCTCTGTAGGACATAATGGCCCCGTGATATCTCATTTACAGTATACGGATGATACTCTGATCTTTGTGAGGCAAAAAAAGATTATATTGAGTACTTAGGGAACTTCCGAAGATGTTGTGAAGTGGTATTAGACCTGAAAGTTAATATCTCCAAAACCTCTTTGGTATGGGTGAATTGCAATAGAGGTTTAGCGGAGGATTTGGCACATGTTTTGGGCCGTAAAGTGGAGCAGTTTCCATTCACTTACTTGGGTCTCCCAGTTTCTGACTCTAGATTGCTTATCTTTGTTTAGGATCGAATCATACAATGTGCGCAAATTAAGTTGGACTTGTGGAAATCCAATTACTTATCACTTGGTGGACGTGCAACGCTGGTAAAGTCGTGTATGGCAAATCTTCCTATCTATCAAACATCTATGTTGAAGATGGCATCCAGAATTGTTAAGAGAATAGAGAAGATGATGTATAATTTTCTTTGGGGTTCTTTTGAATATAAGAATAAATTCAATTTGTTAAGATGGGATAGAGTGTACACTCCCAAAAGTGAAAGTGGCATTGGTATTCACAGGTTGGCGTTAATGAATGAAGCTCTTTTGACTAAGTGGTGGTGGCGTACATTAATGTTCAAATATCAGCTATAGTGTAAGGTCCTCGTTGCTAAATATAGTATTGACAGGTTTTGAGTGTAGATTGGTGGAGGCAGTTCGAGTGCATCAAGATCTGTGTTTTGGAAAGATATTTTTCTGTTCAAGGCTTATATTCATAGAGATACGAAGATGGTGTGTTGGGAATAGTATTCGGATCCCTTTTGGCTTCAAAAGTGGCTGGGTGATAGTCCATTGAAAACCTCTTTCCCGGATCTTTTTGCCAAGGCATCGTCCCCTAATTCGTTGATTAGTGACATTGTTCAGGTTGGTGGTGATCAAGTGGTATGGGATATTCATTTTTGGTACAGTCAGGTTACTGATATTGTTGGTAATCAAGTGTCCAGCTGTTATCAAAGCTTCATGAGGTGGTCTTATCTAAAGATTTGCCCGATGAGCTCATTTGGGAGCATAGTAAGGATGGTGTTTACTCTGTTAAAACTATGTACTCAGTGTTATTCCATGACCAGCATAGATGGTCTTTACCTCAAATCTCCCAAATTTGGAAGTGGCCGGTCCATCATAAGGTTCAGTGTTTTATGCGGTTGGTAGGTTTGAATAAGGTACTCACGATTGGCAATCAAAAGGGAAAAGATATTACCAAATGTATATTTGTTTTGCAAAGAGAATGGGGAGTCCACTGCGCACTTGCTTATATATTGTCGGTTTACAACTAATGTGTGGTGTTGGCTTTTGGGACGTATTGGTTTTAGTGCCACTCTTCCACAGAGTGTGTTAGGTATTATTACTAAGTTAGTCTTGCTTGGATTTCCTAAATTGGGGATTATGGCAGATTATTAGAGGAGCTATATGTTAGGAGTTACGGAATGAGCGGAATGGACGGACTTTTGAAGGAAAATGTCTTCCTTTGGAGTGTCTAATCCAACTTATTGTACATACTTCCTAGAGCTGGCTCTCGGTTCTTGATGAGGGGAGAGAAATAAGGGCGATTGAGGTGAGGCTCAATCTAGCTGAGCTGGTTTATATGAGAGGTGTAAGGATGAGATCGATTGGCAATTGGATATCCCCTGTTCAGGGTAGATTGAAGCTGAATTTTGATAGGAGCTCTCAAGATAACCCTGGCCCTTCGGATGTGGGGGGTGTGGTCCGTGATTGGAATGGAATAGTTGTCTTGGCCTATGCTGGACCAATTGGCACAACCACTTCTAATATGGCTAAGTTCTAAGCTTTGCTCATCGGTTTAAATTTTATCAGGTCTAAGAATCTCGGTCCAGATATAGTGGTGGAAGGTGATTCCCTTAATGTGATCAAATGGTGCAATAAGGATTATTGTGTGTCATGGATTTTACACTCAATCTAGGTTTAAGTGCAAAAGCTCGCGAAGGTCTTATCCTTAACTTTTCAGCATGTCTTCCGGGAACCCAATGAGGTTGATGATAGTTTGTCGAAAACAGGTGTTTCGATGGCTGAGGTTTCTATTCTTAACGATATTGGGACTGTTTGATGTAATATGTTTGCTTCCTTATTAATAAAAGTGATAACTTGGTAAAAAAAAAAAATGGCAATGTGTTTATGGATTTACTCATAATCCTTCTTTTTAGAGCTCTCAAGAGTGAGATTATTTTCATAGAAGGTTAGAGTTAGGGATGGCAATGGATCCGACCAAGGATGCGAGGGGTAGATCGGATCTAGATCCGGGTCCAAAATTTAGATTTGGGTCCTAGTCTAGGTCTGGTAATATTTTTCGTGTCCAAACATATTAAATATATTTAAATATAATTAAATATATAAATATTTTAATTAATTTTTTAATCGAGTGTAGTGGTAATTAAATATATAGATATTTTAATTAATTTTTTAATCGAGTCTAGTGGGATCTAGATCTGAGTCAAGACCTAGTGAATTCAAACGCAAGTCCAGCCGAAGCCGACCCGACCCATCCCATCCCATTGCCACCCTTAGAGAGGGGAGCTTAGAGAGAGATTGTGAGCAAGGGAATGAGGGGGGTTTTGACAAGGGATGGTTAGTATTTAGATGTTGATAATTTCAATATTAGCTTCTAAAATGATGGTTTTGAAGATTGGTACATACATATCGTATTAAGCAGAGTTGTTTTTATGGGACATTGAGTGCGTGCATTCGCACTTGTCCTTCTCTAATACATGTGATTCCACCTGGTATTGACTTCCCTTCTAGGAAGGAATGGCCTCTCTCTCTCCCTCTCTCTCTCTCTCTCTCGTAGAGAAGACGAACAGACTGCCCTATCTCTCTCATAAGGGAACCCTATCTCTCTCATAAGGGAAAAGGGATAGACTCTCTCTCTCCTCCCCAACGGCAAACTTTGTCACATGCAATGTAATCTCTCTCTCTCTCTAGCTCATAAGTCAATCTCTCCCTCTCTCTCTCTCTCTAAGGAAAGGGATGTCCACATCAAGTACATAAGTGGAAGGATGATGAGCTGCTCTCTCTCTCTCTCTCTCTCTCTCCCCTTATTTTTCTCTACACAACGGCCACTTTCTCACAGGCAAAAAGAATCTCTCTCTCTCTCCAACCTAACCTAACCTAACCAACGGTCTACAAATTTGTCCAAATTTGTTCATTTTTGGGGTAGATTTGGAATCAACCAACAGTCTAATTCAGCTTCTTCTTAAGTTTAAAGCAGGTACGAAATTTACTATGAACTCAAATGTGTAAGTTTATTTTACACGCTTGTATCATAGTTGAGATAACTTTAACGAAAAATTATCAGCTAACTTTAGAGTTCAGACAATTAGTTTACCTGATCTCTTTCATGGATAAGTATCGATCTGATACACCGTCGATTTGTTTATAAGTATCCTTGGTATTTAACACTCAAATTGAAAATCATTAGGATTTGAAAATAATGGAGAATTATAATCCCAACCCTTTTTTTTGCAAAAATGCATTTTCCATCAGAGCAGATAGAGAGAGAGAGAGCGAGAGAGAGAGAGAGAGAGAGAGGAGGAGGTGGAGAGAGCGAGAGAGAGAGAGAGAGGAGGAGG